AAACCATGAGCACCAAATAAACTTGTCCTCCTCTAAAATTGTTCTGGTCAGGTCTTCTGGTCACAGAAGAAAACCACAAACAACAAACAAACAAAAATATCCAAACCAAACCAAACCAAAATAAAACTGACTAAAACCTTTCAAAGGCGAGGGTCTGGATGAAAAAGTCCATAATTGAAAGTAGGTAGAGGCAGGATCCCTTCTCCCTACCCAGAGGGCTGGGGACAGTGTTGACAGGAGGAGAACCTGCCTCTTGGAACAGGAAGTCTTCAGCTATGGCACGTTTACTCCTACCTACGCABAGACCAAGACGGGGGTCTGGGAGCYCCAGGAGGGTGGGTGGTAGAAGGGAAAGCTGCAGCTGAATATCTACATGAAACGAGGCCACGGAGACACCATGGAGTAATCTGTTCTCTGTGCCCAGTGTCCTTCCCTTGTGTCCTTCCCCAGTCCCCCCCTTGCACCTCCCCCAGGAGTCCTGGGCTTTCTAACAAAGCCGAGTCTGGCCTCTGGTCTGTTCTACCCTCCTTGTGAAACTTGAGGGGATTTTTAGCTTTAAAACACTTTAGATTTTATTTACATCCATTTAAGAGTTTATTTATTGAATWCTTGTCTCCTTAAAAATACACTGGGTTTCTTCAGGGCCAGTCAAGTGTGGGTCAGCTGGTCCCGTSCAGCTCGGCCTGGGGGTAGGTGCCTTTCATGGTGCGGCTGTGGCCACACTCGGCCCACTGGGAGACTCAGTGTGATGATGCTTTTCCTGATGGTCCACGTGTGTCTTGTGCCCTGTCCACCCCTCTCCTGGCCTTGAAGTCARGAACTGCTCTAACTACGCCTGTCTTTTTAGCATAACGGAGTTCGGACCCATAATAAGGACCCAATATTTACTGAACACTGGCTGTCGCAAAGGAATAAGCGGTCGCCAAAACCAAACCGTGTGCCTGTTCCAGAACTTCAAAACAGAGGCAGTACCTTTCTTGTGGTAGGTGCTGGGAAGTAGTGTGACAAATACAGATAGGGCCTGATTAGGAACCGATTGACGGGGAGGCTATCAGAACCTAAAATTAACACAGAAACCTACATAGACACACTTACTCATGTAATTATGCCTGGACACTCACCTCAGGTCTCAACAGAAGGAACTTTCTTCCCGGCCTGGGCCACATTACCTTTGCACGTGCAGATGTGTCAGGGCCTCCTTGACTTCAAGGGCACATCAGCAGGTGGTATGACATGGCGGACACCATCGCCAGGGCCCAGGCTGTTGATTTAGTGTGTGTTCTTCCCCAAACCCATTAGGTCACGTACCTGTGCAGCCAGACGACTGAGCTCAACAGCAATGTYGGATCCCGAGTTCCCCAGGCSGATCACAAGGACCCTCTTCCCCTTGAAGGCTTCTGGGCTCTTGTAATCACGGCTGTGGAGGTAGTTGCCTTGTAACTGCTCCAGGCCTAGGTGCAACGGGGAGGGGTCTGAGTGATTTTTGGAAATTGTGAAGACTCCGTTTTTCACTATTTTTTTAAAAGCCTATTATCAGCCTTAGTTTTAAAAATTCCCTAACTGACGTGCCTTCCCCATTGAGTTCTTGACACTAAGCCCACAAATAATCACCTCTGGTGTCTTAACATCTCAAGGTGTTAGAATTTCTGTTTTGGACAATCGTATAATAGTAGTTAATGCGTATGCAGTGCTTACTGTGGGCTGGATCCTCTGCTAAGTGCTTGTCATGTTTTTAACAATCGACTCTGGATAACAGCCCTGAATGGTCAGCACTGATATCTCTATKTTAAGAGGTGAAGAAACTGCGGACAAAGAGCTTCAGTGGTCAGGCGCTGGAGGAATAGGGAGTGAAGCCCAGGAGTTCTGACCTCACACAACTCACTGCTGCATCTACTGCCCACTCACATCCACAGTTGGGTCTTCCATTTTTCATGAACTTTCACACTTTTTTGTCCTGTGGACCTCATGCCTGGAAATGGGACTCTATCTTTGAGGGCACTGTGTTCCTTTTGCAGAGAAGGAAAGAAGAGTAGTAGAGGGGGCAGAGAGGCTGTGACATTTGCCASTTTGGGACAGCCCAGGAGTGTGCCTCCATACACACCCCACAAGCACACACTCACTCCCAAACCACTGGGATTACAAAAATCAATCTGCAGATTATGGAGGAAGATGAATTTAGAGTCTTAGGGTTTTCCTACAAATAAGAAAATGTGCCTTTCTTTAAATTATTTGCTAGCTGGACTCTACTTTTTTGAATGCGCTCCACTCCGAGACCCCCTGTGTCATCAGAACTTCTATTGAGTGGTCACTGTCTGTGAAATAAGAGCTCGTGTCTGTCTGACCTCTGACTTGAACATCTTTGACTCTCCTAACCCAGGGGTTTGTGTTTAGCCTATCATCACACTGAAATGGTTTTCCTTCTGAAATCTCTGGTAACTTAAGAACAATTAGGTCCCATCTATTGAAAGATCTGTTGTCAACCCTGATGTTTGCATATGAGCCTCAGATTATTATGTATTTTTTCATACTTACCAGGAAAAGAATCCGTTGGCAGATTGGGGTACACGTGATGTCCTGAGCAAATCATCACAGCGTCAAAAACAGTAGATTCCTGCTTCCCGTCCTTCTCAGTAASCACCGTCCATTGGCCAGTGACTAGGAAGCCAGGACATTTCTTGACACTGGTAACCAGAGTCTTAAAGAAAACCAGAAACGTTCCTTTTATTTATAATTTTCATGGTTTTTTTTTCTTTCTTTCTTGCAGTATTTTCTGTGGAAGAAATCATTGTTGTGAGCTTTCCTGGCCATTGGGAAATGTATGCAAAACTTAAAATAGGAGTCAAGGCAAATCTTCAGTGAGTCTTCAAATTGCATAAGGAACATCACCTCTGGCATTTTTGTCTTTCTGACACCTCAGTAGTTGATTGGGGGTAAATGACATCGAGCCTTTTGGGACTGGTGCCTTGGAACAATCCAGGCGATGCTCTTGCCACCCCTTGACGTTTTCTAAGGTGTTTTGGAAGCTCTAGGAGACTAGTGGGGGATGAGCCTGGGAGCAAAAACCCCAGTGAGTGTTTTATGGTCTGAACCAACAGCTGGTTGGAGAGGTGGGGAGCACTCAGCTCTGCTTTCCACRGCAGATGCCCCCTTCTCCAGCCTGTACCCCACGTAAACAGCAGCCGTGTGAGTCCCAAGGACTCACCTCAAACCGTATGTATCCTAGGAGGCTCTTGGCGTGAGCAAAGGCCCGGAGGTACTCCTGGAGCTTGCTGTGGTGCATGTAGTTGGGGTAGTCGTCGGGGTACGGGAAGTCTGGGAAGCACATCATCTCTTTGGAAGAGTTGGTGAAGACGGACCGGTAAATGCTGGCTCTGCCTTCCTCTGCGTGCTCCTAGGAACAGCAACCAGGCTTTAAGAGGTGGCCAAGGAGKGTGTTCCCCCTGAGAATATTCCACTCTTATTTGACTACAGCCTTTTGAATATATATATATATATATAAAAGCAAAAGTCAAAAGTTCTCTGTGAGATGTGGGCTGGAAGCCTGCACACAGAGCCTGGCACAGAACCCGGCCGTCTTCCACGTTGACCTTCCCATCCCGATTGCCCCAAGGTCAGCCCTGCTCTTGGAGTCCCTTAGTCTCTTCCTCTTCTGATCTTGCACCACCGTGTTCTGGTCTCAGGCTCATGTTAAGGAACAACATCAAAACCATCCAAAGGAGGCTGTAGCTCTTGGCCTGTTTGGTTGCTGCACGGACATCCAGCGGGCACTTCCCTGGCCCCAGAACCCAGACTGAGGTGGCTCGTCAGCCCTGATGTGATGGGTCCCCGGGAGGACCGGTGCCTCAGAACAGGTTCCTGGTCCCACCACCCGAGTTTCAGATCTCGTGCGCCTGAGGCAGGGCCTGGGGGGAGCGCGTCTAAGGTTCCAGGAGCAGCTCCTGTTGCTGGCCCAGGAAGCGCCGTCTGAGAACCCTACAGTCAGTGGACTCTGTCCTGGAAGACGTCTTGAACTCACCAGTTGTTGGTATTCCCTCTTCCCCAAAGAAGCACAGGGAGCCAGAGGCCTTACAACTCAGGTTAAATCTTGGAACTCCATTTTAAAGCCATTGTGTCATTGAAACGTGGCTTCATGTTGAGAGACGGTCTAAAGCTCAACCGGAAATAAACATTTCCTCTCTGTGGCAAGGACAGGGTAGAAGTGTACGCGGTGTGCTGCCCCGAGAACCCATTAGGAGGCTGGCAGCCTCCAAGGCTCGCGGAACTCTTGTGCAATGGGGGGGGGGACTGCCCCCTGGGGTCTGTCTTYGTCCACCCCAGCTAACTAACCCCTGGGCGAGGAGACACACTGCTGGAAAGGGGAGAGGCGGGTGTCTCTGGGGGCCGGGGGCTGCCCGTGTCTCTTCTCAAGTTGAAAACACAAGCTTCCTCCACTGTGGTTGCTGACTGTCTCAGACCGTCTACCTCGGGATTGTCACCTTTTTAGTCTCACTTTGGAATTTTGTAGAGTTGGGAAAAAGGCACAAAGACTGCTGGCCCAGGGCTCGGGTCTGAGTGCATCCTGTTTGCTCTCAGATAGTGTCTTCCACCCTTGGCTGGGAGAAGAGGGGGGACGAGGCTCCTCAGATGCCCCTGGACAGGCGGGAGGGCGGAGCCCTGGGCTGGGGACGGGGACTCCAGGACTYTGCTCTGGGAAACAGAGGTGAAAAGTCTGGGATTATTTTCATCTTGAATGACTCTCTGTTCCTATCCCTTGACCCCAGCCAATCTTAACACAGAGAAAAAAAAAAAAAAAAAACACATTTGGAATTTACCCTCAAAGACTGTTCTTGAAACAGAGGAAAAGAAAACATGTTATATAACCACAATGCTCCAGGGCCCGCGGCTCGTTATTTCAACACGTGGAGAGGCCTGAGCCAGTGGGCAGGCACAGGCTGCCTCTGCCTCTTCTCGGACGCCTTGTCCTGGACCAGAGGTCCACACCGCTGCTGGGACCTTATCACTGCCAGCCTCGGAATCTGTGTTCTTCCCTCCTCATCCTAGGACAGAAGTACTCAGGACAAGGTCAGGGGCTGACTCTCCAGCACTCTGGCCTGCTTTCCCCCATACTGTATCTCTGTCCACCTGTCCTGCCTCCTTGTGCTTGCTTCCCTCCCCTCTCACCAGTACTGAGTCTCCTCCACCTCCACCTGCTGCCTTTACGCTGTACCCAAGTCTTCATTCTGCTATTTTAACCCTGGTTTTCTCTCTGCTTTTATGATACAGGCTCCCTGGTGCAGCAATAGCCTGACAACACCCTGCACGTAGTGTACTTAGCACACATTGGTTGAGTGGATAAATTAATTAGTGGGAAAAAATGTCCACATAGTCCAGTTCTATTGTTTTTCTTTTTGCGATCAAAATGACACTAATCCATTGCACATTGAACAATGTCTTATTGCAGTAACGATAAAACCTTTTGAGGCCCTGAGGCCCTATATGCGGTGTCTGAAACTTAAAACTTTCTCACATTCAGGTTGTTAATGTTTAAACCCCACGTGGTTTCCATTTCTCAGAAAAGCACCTAGTGAAAAGTTCTGAGTTATCAGGTTTCTGTCTTTCCTCACACCTTGTGTGAGGTTTGCAGGATAAAAGCTTATATAACACATTTAAAAAAATCCCTGTTGAATCAGATGTTGTGCCAACACAACTTTCCTCAGAAAAGAAAGAAGGGGTGGGGTGCGTTGAGGAGGCTAAAGTTTCAGGTATTTGGATGCGTTCACATCCCCACTGGGCCTCTGAGTAGGATTTTGCATTTACAGTGGGTCACACGAGTCTGATTCTGCATCTTACTGATGTCACTTACTGCTCCCATAAACTTCCTGATCTGGTGGCAGCAGTAACATGTGGGTTCTTCCCTGGGTGCAGGAGTTTACGCCTTCTCTGTGCCTTTCAGGGACTGTTGATGCCCTGGGGGACTGGGGCTGGCTCACCTGATGACTGTCACCTCTGGAATCCCATCTCACAGTGGTCCCTTACTTCCTGTGCCTGAGGACATCCTTCAAGGCTCAGGAATTGTCTTTGGACCCACTARGATTTCCCCAGTCCACTTCTAAAATGTTAAGGTCTTTGCCTGTTGACAGTCACCCGGGTTATCTTGTTGTTATAAAGTTCAATCATCTTTTATTGGAAATTCTTAGGGCCAAATCTATTTTGAAATGTGTACATTTTGGGGTTTTGCCCCCTAACACTCCTGGTGAGATCCTGGGTTTCAACCTGTAATTTAATGTATTAAAATGTCTGCCATGTCACACAAAGTGAGCCTTAAGTCTCACGGCAATTCAACTTGTGTATTTGGACCTAATGACTTTATATATATATATATATATATATATATATATATATATATATATATATATATATATATATTAGTTGTAGTTGGACACAATACCTTTATTTTATTTACTTATTTTTATGTGGTGCTGAGGATCGAACCCAGGGCCTGGAACGTGCTAGGTGAGCGCTCTATCCCTGAACCACAACCCCAGCCCTGGACCTAACGACTTTCAATAAATGTTTTGCCAGTTAAATGAGTTTTGCCCATTGGCTTCCAAAGAACTGTGGCCTTATATTATGGCTTGCTTCCTCCAGTGGATGGGGCATTTTTAGTAGAGGGGTCATGCCACATATTTACATCTCATTCCTGGCGCAAACCCTGCCAGAAGAGAGCCTCCTTCAGCATTTAGACGTTTTTGAAGAGATGGTAGAGAGCCACTTCATGATTTAGTTTAAGAAAATTAAGCAAATAGAAATGTGAGAGAATGGGATTTTTGAAAAAAAAAATTAACTCTGGATTATTCTGTAATGGAAAACAAAATTAGGGACCTTGTGTAATACTTTTGATTTAATAGGAACAAAGATGTAAAGCAACAATAAATAAATAAATAAAGACAAAAGCCACACACCTTTTGAGATGAATACAGACGTGTTTTGAATTAGCACTGATCAGTTCTATCCAAGGAGTCCATTGATGCAGGTTGGACAGTAACTAGCMATGGAAGATGGTTATAGGACAAAGGATGTGGGTTTAATGTCTTCAAGCCAAACACAAACAAACCATTCACATCCAGTCACAGTCACAATGKGAGAGTCAGGACACAAAGGCTAGAAGCCTCTCCAAACCTGGCTTTTGAAATCCATGTCATTTCTATAAATGATCAAATAGCAAAGACCACCATTTTTCTCTCTGGGTTTGGAATCAATAGATAACCGATAGCCACTTACATAATCAGCATTTATAATCACTTGTATCTCACCATAGATGTACATTAATCATAGACTCATATTCTGTTAGAAATGGGAAGCTCATTAGAGGGAACCTATCTTCCAGCTTCTTTTTTAAACAAATGAGTATTCAAGGTCCAGAAAGGAAAACAACTTGCCTAGGAAAACCGAAGAGCTGAGACTAGAACTCAGGCCTTCTGGTCTTAGTTCAGATTTGTTTATCTTTTTTTTTTTTTTTTCACCTGATTCTTAACCTTTAAGAKAAGTGATTGACAGAAGCCTTTCAGCGACCTGGGAAGGAGGTGGCGTGTTTTTATCTCATTGCCACACCAGCACCCTCTGTATCCTGGAGGGCCAGACCCCACTATGGCGGGTGATGCCTGCTGAGTGGAGAAGTCAAAAGTCCTGCTGCTTTGAAGCAGTTTTGAGTGGTCAGATGTTAGTGTGACAGGAGAGGTAAGATYTTACTTTCCAGATCGGGCGCTTCTGTGGTCTGCTGTCTGGCTCTGAATTAGAACGAATCAGATTTGTTCTGCACTGGGAACCCGTCCCCTTCCTCTGGTGTCCCAGAGATGTGCCACTCACCGAGAACTTCCACAGCCCTCCAATGTCATCGCTCCTCTCAAAGCAGGTGGGCTCCAGCCCCTCCTCCAGGCAGCACCGAATGGCGGCCAAGCCACTGACGCCAGCTCCAACGATGGCCACCCTCTTGGCCATGGTCGCCCGTAGCAGAGTCTGGGAAGGACTTCTTCAGAAGAGTGTTGGGTGACAGGGTTTCTCAGTGAAAAGGTTTGCGTGTCAGGATCCGCACCTTAGCACAAGAAGGCATAGAGGCAYGTTTACAGTCGATGCTCATTATTTGCCCCATTTTACTATAATAAGATACGAAATTTGGCATCTCCTGATTATTCAGTATGCCAAAAATATAGCCGTCCGTGAATGTCACGCAGGAAGATCACCAATCCTGTGCTCTCAATTGCAAAGGAAGCTTTGATACCTTGAATTCAAAATTACTTCTTCAAGGTTTAGAGCTAACAAATGAAGGGGTCAGAACTAGGTGTGAACCTGCACAAAATCCTCTATGCCGGATCCCCTCCCACGCACAGTGAGTGCCTGACTGAAAGGGGCCTCACCTCCTGATCAGCCTCCTTCCCTCCCGGAGGACCAGCGGTTGTCTAGACGTGGAAGGGATGGCTTTCAACAATGTCTTTTGATGGAAAAACTGAGAAAAGGGGGAGGAGTTATTGCTCTTAAAGTAAAAATCCCTCTTTCTTTGTATYCTTCATGGTGTGGAGTCCTGGTGAAATCTGGTGGAGAAGGACTGAGAATGGCAGGAATGAGAGGAGAACGGGGAGGGGAGGGGAGCAAAGGAAGAAAAGGCTGGGGGAGGGCTGAGCGAGGCCCCTAGTCCTGGTTCCAAAGGGCCAAACAGTGACCAATGTGCTCCCCAGAGCTGTAAGGTAAATCCCTAGGAGATTAAGGGAACAATGACGATTATTTATTTTTGCTTTGAAACTATAGTATGTATAAACAAACTCGATGCACCTGGGCTAGTTTTGTTGCACCAACGGGGCTCAGATTTCTGGAAACATAGGAAGGTCTGAATGTGAGGAGCCGAGCTAACTCTTGTAGGTGATGAGTTTGTAAAACTGGAGATGCAAAGGACAGAATTGCAGAGCCACTGAATCTCAGCTCTGGCTGCCACCCCTTTCCATCCCTGCCGTCCCCCCCTCATCTTCCTCCCCACCTGCCTCCCTTCCGCCATTCCTTCTACTTTGGCAAGTGCCTACCACATGTCAAGCATTTCAACAGGGTCTTAGGGGCTCGGGGGCCAGCAGACGGAGTTTCCACCTGGAACATTCCAAGAGACAGAGAAGGTTCGTGTGACAGTGAGCTGGGTTCAGTGCAGCCAGGACTCAGGAAGGAGCATCTAAATCGGCCTGGGAGAAGAATAAGAATGAACGACTTTAAGAGAGAGTGAGAAGAGGCTGAGGGTCAAGGGAAAGATAAATCTTTGCCACCAGAGAAGGGGCAAGGAGAGTGCAGCAAGCAAAGAGAAAACTGTGCCAACGAACARACGAGCAAGGGGGATGTGAGTGAGTGAGCTGCAGTGGGCCTGGGATTGCTGGACTTCAGGCGACAGGAATAGCAGAAGATGAGGGGGTCACAGGTTGTGGAGGACACCGCAGCGCCACACTCCAGGGTTTGGACACCATTTTCTAGGTTCTGGGAAATTCTGAACATGGAAGTGATGAGATCAGACAAGATGAGATTTGGAGGCTGGCCAGGACGGGGTTGCAACAACATAGGCCAGAGAGGCKAGGGCAATGTCAGAACACTGGGAAGGAGAGGATGCAGGGCACTAGGAGCAGAAACCAGGGGCTGCCACAGGACAGGTGAGGTCACACTGGAATCACATCCAGCAGGCAGGGCACTACTGGGGTCACTGCAGATGCCTCCACCTCAGGAAGTGGGCCGTGAGGCTCGCTGAGTAAACCCGACTGGTGAACCGTGCTTGCCCGTTCAGAGGCAAGAAAACTCAGCCTTTGTTTCCCTTTGCTCCAGGCCCAGGTGTCTGCCCAAGTTGCCTGCAAGCTCTACCTGCAAATCAGTCTTTGAAGAGCAGTTTTTAACTTTCTAAGTCCTTGCAGTGCAGGAAGGAGCCAGAGCAGGGTAATTAATTTTTCTTAATAATTCAGTTTCTACCAGACCCTCCTTCTTCTGACCTCCCAAATTTTCTAATCCGTTTCACAGCATCCTACGCTGTTGTTTAACTCTGCCACATCTCAACAATGAGGCCCTGAGCTTCTTCAACCCAAAGACAAGCCTTACTCATTTCTYATTCCTCTGCCTGGGACCCAGCTAAGCTCATAGCAGGCATTCAACAAGTATGCTCTCAGTGAATGGCTGACCAGCAACTTAGAGAGTGAGGTGTGCTTTGAAATTGTGGAGCTCCATCGGGTCATGGGAAGCGGGAAGAGGTTTAAGAAGGCTGTCCCTCCTCTGGTTACTGATGAAGAGTTCAGTATGGGAGATGAGACAAGAGCAGCTGCCTGCTCAGTCTCTGGAGTCCTCTGCAGACCTCAGCTCTTTGGTGGTCTACAGTGTGGCTGTCACCCAGAGCAGGGCGGTTTGAACAGGCTGCCTGGTGCCTGGCTTCCCCGGGCAGCAGACTAGGGATTGGAGAACTAAGGGCTTTCAAGGTGAGGGAAGCCATGGTGCTTGCCAGACAGGSTGATTATTTTAGGATTTGTGAGGGTTTGGGGAGATTTTCCAGATGACTTTACGTTTTGTAATTCCCATTTTTGTATTTTTTTCTGGACTTCAGGGAGTCTTAGGGGATCCACAAGCRCAGCCAGCGGCCTTGACAGATTGTAATTTGCAAATCCTTAGGCTTCAATCCATCACATCTGCTCCGAGGCCCATTCTTCCTACAGAGATAACCCTCCCCCAAGCCAGTCCTMGCCAGTTCTGTCTCATCCCAGGGCTAGAAGGAGGGAGGCAGRGAGGAAAACTCAGCATTCTCTTTTTTGAAAATTTCCCAAATGGGGAGTTATGGTTCATCACCTTTAGTGACCCCTCGGGCTAGCCAGGAGGAAGTTCTGGACCAAGTAGGGAGGCTGGTTGATGGGCAGGCAGAGGGCAGAGCAGCCGACCATTCCTTCCTTGTCTCCCGCCCCACCTTCTTGCTGCCACCCCTGCCCTGCAAATGAACAGGCTCAGGCCTGTTCTTTCTGTGGACTCTTTGCTTCAGGCCGTGTTTCCTTGTTTCCTTCTTCCTGGGGTCTATCCTTCCAGAGCTGGACTCGCCAAGGGCTTCAGGAAGTGTTTCCTAGGGCACACKGTGCTCTGTGCTCCTCCTGGGGTCCCCTGCTGCCCCCCACTGCTGGCTGCCCCAGCCTCTCCTTTCCTCCATGCTCCCCTGTCTGGGACCCCGCACTCAACCTTCCCTCTCCCTGCGGGGGTCATGCTCCCGCTCCCTCAGGCCTCTGGAACTGTGGGTGGGGGTTCTCCCACCTTCATTTTGTCTGCGGCAGGTCTGTGCCTGCGTCAGGACCCTGACCAAACCTCCTTCTCTCCGGGAAGCCTTCCTAGCACTTCCTCTCTCTCTCTCTCTCTCTCTCTCTCTCTCTCTCTCTCTCTCTCTCTCTCTCTCTCTCTCTCCTTCCTGGCCACCACCAGGCTAGCCGTTTTCCTCTACCGTGACCTTCCATCATGATGCCCCACCTCACTTGGGCCCAGAGCAGTGGAGCTGGCCAACCATGGACTGAATCCTGACATCATGAACTCAAAACAAACTTTGACTCCTCTAAGTTGACTTTGTCCAACGTTTTGGTCGCAGTGACGTCAAGCTGACTAACACAGCCCTTATCCCACGAATGGTTTGCAAACAGTGTCTTCTTCTATGGGTTGTCACTTCACTCTGTTAATTATTTCCTTTTCTATGATGAACCTTTTTTTAAAAATCTGATGCTATTTCATTTATCTTTTTTTACTTTCACATCCCTGCTTTTGACATATGTATTTTTTAAAAAGACTCATTGACCAGAATAATGTCAAGGTGTCTACTCTTTTTTTTTTTCTTATAGTTTTACAGTTTCAGATCTTAAAGTTTAAGYCTTTAATGCACTTTAAGTTTTGTTCTTTTTTCCATATCTGCAGGGTCCRGTTTCCTCCCTTGCGTGTGTACATCCAGCTTCCCAGCGTCCTGGGTCCTTCCCCATGCTGCGTCCCTTGTCTGGTTGTCTCTCTCCTCAGATCTAAAACTTGCTCCATACGTTTAGGTGTTCCAGTGTACGGTGCACATGTATGTATCACTGTTACACACTCGTGACCAGCCCTCCTCCTTATCACTACAGAGTGACCTTCTTTATCCCTTGGGATGGTTTTCAACTTTAAGTGAGTTTTTTTTTTTTTTTTTTTTTTTTTTGCCTTAAGTGTAGCGGCTGTGGCCTCCTGGGGCTTCCATTGGCTGGAAGGTTTTTCCCATTTTGTCTTTTTCTGCCTCTGTGTGTCCTTAAATCTAAAACGAGTCTCTTATGGACAACATATATTACATACATTTGGATTTTGTTTTTCTTTTTAAAATCTATTCAGTCATTCTTTTTATAAGACAATCCGGGCTGTTGCATCAGGTTATTTTTTATAAGTAGGGATATACCATGGCCATCTATCAACTGTTTTCTGGGTTTTTTGTAAGTCCCTTGTTCCTTTATTCTTTTGCTGTCTACCTTTGTGACTCGATGGTTTTCTGTAGTGCTTATGCTTGGTTTCTTTATCTTTTGTGTATTTATTACACTTTTTCTCTTTCTAGCTTTTGTGAGGCCTATATAAAACAATAGTCCAGGGTGGACTGTTAGCAACTTAACTTTACACACACCTAAAACCTCTACTTTTACCCTCCCTCCTGCATTTTATATTTTGAAGTCACAGTTTAGTGTATTTTATATTGTGTGTCTCTAAGCAAATTGTTGTAACTGTAGTTATTTTTAACAGTTTTTTCTTAACCTTTGTAGCATATATACAAGTTTCTACGCACTGCCCTTACAGTATTAGAGTATTTAGAATTTGACTACATATACCGTAACCAGCATATATTATGCTCTTATTTAAAAAAAAATTTAAGTATATGTATATATTTTAGTTGTAGACGGACACAATGCCTTTATTTTGTTTGTTTATTCTTATGCAGTGCTGAGGATCAAACCCAGTGCCTC